AAAAAAAACAGATGGGCTAAGGAAGCGTAACTCCATGAAATTTCCGTGTAATTGGAATACTTATAACACTCTAGGGTCAAATTGACAGTTTTCGCGCAATCCCCGCCCCCTGTGGGCAGGGTCCAGTCTTACCACCTGCATTGAGTGTTCCTACCCTGTTCCCATTACTCCTACCAAATTTGAACTTTCTAAGTCCACGGGGACAGGAGTAAATTTCCGCTCAAACATTTATTCCGCACAAACCCCGCTTCTTGTGGGGAAGAAGTCCAGTCCTGCCATCCTCCATAAGCGTTCCCATCATGTTTCCAGTAATTCTACGAGGTTTCAACGCCATAGGACCAAATTGACAACTTTCGTGCAAGCCCCGCCCCCTGTGGGTGGAGTCGGTCCTGCCACCCGCTATAACTCTCCACATCCTGCCGCATGTAGCCCTTCAAATTTGAACTTTCGGGGCCCACGGGGATAGGAGTTTAATTTCTGCCCAAACCCCGCCCATTGTGGGCGGAGTCTGATTTTGCTACCTTTCATGAGTGTTTTCATGCCGCCGCCAGTACTCCTTCCAACTTTGAACATGGGGACAGGAGTTATGATTTTTCGCTCAAACATTTTTTCGCATAGACCCCGTTCCCTTCTGGACGGAGTGTGGTCCTGCTACCCACCATAAGTGTTCCCGTCCTGCTCTCAGTATTCCTACCAAGTCTGAACTTTCTAGGTCCACGGGGACAGGAGTTATGAATTTCCGGTTGCACACAAACACACAGACATTAGCGCGTTATATAAAGTTGGATAGTGGCTGCCATCCATTGTATAAATCAGTTTTCGATTCGATCACTGGACCGTATTCGTGGTAAATGCTATGCTGTCCTGCCCTACCTTCGCCCTTGATCCTTTGTCAGTTCTGCTGTAGTGTAGTCTCTGCAACCAACTGTAGAAGAATTCACTTCTTTCGCGAAACATGAACGGTTGGGTGCAAACGAGCCCAGTGCATTCTTCGATGTGTTGTTCTGCAAAGGAAGGGAGTTTTTCTACTACAAATTCTACCAAATCACGCTGCTGATCTCGTTAACTTCTACGCCCGAATATATTATTTGGATAAACTTTTTCGTTAATCTCAAACTGAAATCAGTCACTATCTCAATACTGATTTTCCTAAAAAGAAAATTATTGGCGTTAGAGAGATGATACATTCCTTGCGTTTCTATCTTTTTTTTTGCTTCTACCAGTTCAAGTTAGTGAGCTTAAATATTTTGGGCTTAATAAGAGCTCATTCAGGTCTCGTAAAATGGCAGCTTGTTTGCTTTCTTCCGTATGGACACTTTCGTTGATTGTATGTAGCCCACCGTGGTTCGTTCCTGGATGGGGCCTTTTCGCGGATCATCACCAGGTCAGCCGCAAGTTTTTCAGATCCAACCTCACTTCCGACCTGATCACTGGAAAAAGGCACAAAATACTTCGCTTCCTGTTTTTATAGGTGAAGGAAGAACGTGCACTTATGAACCATTTTTACGTTTTCTTGATCAAGTCCCCACACCCAATTGCATTCTTCTAGGTCAGGATGCACATATGCCCGTTCGAAACCGAACGTGACACCCCTTCTGTCATTACTTTGAAAATTGTCTCAATTCTGGTTGGCCTTGCAGTTGTATAGCATTTATGTACCAAACCTACTTAGCACAATTTTCGTCATTTCTTACGATGGCCCCCTAAAAATGCTCCCAAGCATCCGACCCCCTTTTAGACTGGTAGTGACCTTCAAATATGTGTGCCCTATGTAATGAGTTGCGCTGTCCACCGATATACATACCCATCGCTTTTTGTCTTCTCAGTCGAATCTGGTCCGAGGACTGAATTCCAAACAGACATTTGCTCATACCTATCGGGCCTTATACTCTGCGGAGCTGATTAGATAAGTCGTGTTAGTGCGCACTTCACACTGCACTACTTGCGTCTGAACGATGTAGAATCTCCATAGTGTGGATATTATAGATGAATAGTACACATCCATGCACAGTGGTAAGATTATGAAAAGGGGTATGATCCGGATCGTGTATTGACTGTAGGGTTTCTGGCACCGCGATGCACGTGCATGAAGCCAGATACTTACATATATACAAGTTGGACGCATATATACACGGCAATAGAAAACGATTAGTAGAATGGTAGGTGACGCATTATGCCAAATGATGCCCGTGCAAAAGCTTCCCCTCCCTGCCTGCTCTCTTTCCTGGAAATTCGATTGTCCTTGATTGAAAAAGAAAATAAATAAAAATAAATAGGGCTCATTTTGCGACAAAAAGGAGGGGTTAACAGTATCAAAAAACTTCCTTACTCATAATACCTCCCTCTCCGCGCCTATGGGACGTTCTCGTCCCTCATCGTACCTGTGAATTTATGGTGGAATGACACACAAAACACATACAAACAGACACACAAAGTTAGCCCCTTGTACAGGGTACGCAATAAGTATGGTAACAAAATAGTTGTGCAGTAACCGCAATATCCCGTCTCCTGTACTGATTATAACTCAGAGATGACACGCAGAGTTTCTTGAAAAACTCCAGTCCATGCATTTCTTAACGATATTTTAGTTGTGTGCTTTGAAACTCAAGCCTTCCTCCCCAATATACACTATACCCGCAGGGCCACCGGATTGTGGGCTGGAGAATTCGTAGGTCAATCGGAAGTCGGAATAAAACTGCGACATCTTCTCAGCACCAGTCTTGATCTTTTTCCATTCGTGAGAAAGCACGCGAGTGTTGCCAAATCGCATCCCTGGATTTCAACCTAAGCAGCACCTTCACATAATTGTCCCCTTCGAAGATGTTCTGGTCAATTTTTATGCTTTTCTCGACAAAAATAAGCTACAGTAGCGCTCAAAAGTATTCGGCCGAATGCTTCTTCACTCGTACTTTTCAGTCATAACTCTTTCCTACTGGATCTAATCAAGCGAAATTTCAAATGTGTGGCATTGGTGTGGCTTGAATATTCACCACTATTAACCTGCAATCTGATCATGTTCCAAATATCCAAAAAGGTCTGAACATAAAATCACCTGGAATTACGAATGGTGGTCCTTCTAGGAGTCCCTTCCTCTTTGCCATGTCTTGACTGTACGAGCACTAATGTCGAACCCGGAAGAGTAGAAAAGCGTGCATAAGGTCGGAATAACTGCAGACGTCACAAACTTGCTTTCAGCACAGTCTACAAACGCCTCCCCATTAGTATGTGGATATGGCTGTTTTGCAGTCAAGTAGTGTTGGACGGTGTAAAATATGCTTCAGCTAAAAATATCAAAATTTCATGTGATTTGCTCCACTGGGAAAAGAAAGTTACGACAAGTTAACCCATTGACGACCATGGCGTTTTGCGGGAAAACCGCCGCGAGGGAGCGGCGTGCTTTTCGTCCACTCTCATGGTCCAGCATGACCATTTTTTTGAGGTTTTTAAGAGACATTTAAAAGTTTACGGAATGTTCCTTCGAATGGGCTTGAAAAGAATGCCCACACTGAGTGATTATTGATCTTTTTTATAGAAGCGGAACTCAGTCTTGTGGTCATTCAATTATGACTTCAATCATTACCAGAAATCGTTTTGGGGGAACTTTTATGAGCTCTGCAATTGGTCGATGACAGACAAAATGCTAATGACGATCGTCTTTTCGAAAAATCTCATTTTTTGAAGTTGTTCAACGAACGAAAAATTCACCAAGGTAATGTGCTGCTTCGAAAAAACACCTTTACAACCGCAAGATTAGAAGATTTTCCAGGGTCACGCTTCATATGGTTTCATCTAGACCTGATGTAATGTTTTGAAAACAAGAATTGTAAAAAAATGGAAATATAGATGAATAAAACAAAAAATACAGCTGCAGTCCACATGTGAACTGCATGGTCGTCAATGGATTAAAGTTGGCCGAATACTTTTGAGCGCTACTGTATATCGCTCAAATGGCACTGATTCCAGCCCAAACCATCATGGAAGAGAAATATGGCTACGGGAAACGATGTGACCCTCCTCAAACCTCGCCACTTACAGTAAGAATAATAGGTGTACTCTGGTATCCGAGCACCTTTCCATCGAGCTAATTGTGTCAAAGCGTGTGCCGCGTGCAAGAAGGGCACGGCATTTGTTCTCCCTCACGAACTTCTTCTCGCCAAAAAGGTAGTAAAGATTTCGAAATTTATCTGGATACAACAGTATTTTCTCGGAGAGAGTTTGTCTCATTAAAGTAGAACATGCATTCAATTCGGCAGTTATTTTTCTAGTGTTTCTGCAGGTTTTCTAGCGTAATCATTTCCAAGCAGTTGTATGATATTTGGAAAAGGGGTTGACCTGTCCACGCCTCGCGATACAAGAAACTGTCATGCAAGAGATGTGAAATGACGAGCCATCTCGGAAAAGGTCCTCCAAATGCGCGCAAGGACAGAACGGTTGATTGCAAGACTTCTTTCCGAAAACAGACGAGTTGAGAGCACCAGAGTGGATTTGTGAGCTGAGGTATAACATAAACATTAGAGAAAAGAAGAAGTTGTTAGTCATTTTTCACATCGCACTCTGTATATAGAACAGTTATACATACATATATACTATACCAGGCGGCTACGCACGCTCTCGCGCGCGCTAGGGGCTCTAATCATGAGAGACGGAGCCGCATGAGCTGATTTTCATTATAGACCTTTATCGGATTTATGAGTTTCCGCTCAAACATCGCCTCCTGTGGGCGGCGTCTGGTCCTGCCACCCACCATGAGTGTTCCCATCCTGTCGCATGTACTCCTACCGAGTTTGAACTTTTTAGGTCCATGGGGACATGAGTTATGAATTTTTGCCGAAACCCCGCCCCTTGTGGGCGGAGTCTGGTTCTACCACCCACCATAGGTTTCCCCAACACAGTGTCTGTACTGCTACCAAGTTTGAACTTTCTAGGTCCATTGGGACAGAATTATGAATTTTCACCCAAACCCCGCCCCTTGTGGGCGCAGTCCGGTTTTGCCACCCACCATAGGTGTTCCCATCCTGTCGCCTGTACTCCTACCAAGTTTGAACTTTCTAGGTCCATG